GTGCAGGACAACGGGGGGTGTGGTCCGTCCAGCAGACTGAGAAGGGACCACGTGGGGCCTTGGGGGTGGGGGCAGCAGGAGGTCCAGAGAGGGTCCAGCCCGAGGCGGCCAAGGGCGCGGGTGGGGTGGCTGGGGCCAGGCAGGGGAGGGGCATGGGGGGTCCACAGGGACGGCACATGAGGGGCCCNGCGAAGGGGCTCTCAGGCGGGGTCAATCCCTTTCTTAAAACCCTCCCGAGACCACGTCCCCCAGATGCCTGCTCACACCTCGCGCCCAGGCAGCGGAGGCGCAGGGCACGCAGCCGAGACCAGGACGTGGCTGGAGCACGTCGGCTCCGGGCCGCGAGGCAGGGGCCCCGGGTGCGGGCCTGGAAGGGTTGCTTCTCCGGAGGCCTCTGCACCACTGTGTAGATGGCGCCCCTCTCCGTGTCCTCCCGTGGTCGCCCCTCCAGGTGTGTCTGTGCCCCACCCTCCCTAGTGGCCTCATTTTAGCTAAACCCCCTCCTTAAAGACCTGATCTCCAAATACAGCCACGTTCTGAGGGGCTGGGGTTCAGGCTTCAGCCTACGGACCTGGGGGGACCCGGTTTGGCCATAACTCCTTGTGTGGCAGTTACCTGGGGGGAGGACATAAAAGCCCAGCTGCTGTAGCACTGTGGCCGCAAAAGGAGACCCGTGACTTCGAATGGACACTCATCCTACAAGGGGACCCCCGAGATCGGCGTGGCCCCAGCTGGCAGGCCCACCCGCTCTCTAGGGCTGGGGCCCAGGCAGGGTGGCGGGTGGCTGGGCCCGGGGGCCCTGGGGAATGAGCACCCCTCCCCCTGGCACCAGCAGGCTCCTCCATTTGGATCTGCGCTCAGAAGCGAGGCATCTAAACCACCTCAGGTCTGAAGCATCTGTGGTTCCCATCTTCCTGAAGGCGGGCGCAGGGGCCGCTAATGCACAAAACATCCTCACCACCACGAAGGTTTAAAACCAAGGAAACCACCCGGCCGGGGACGCATTAAACTCCGGCAGTCGCTCCCCGGTTAAAACCAACCCTGATACCGGCGACAGTGCGCTAGCTGCCGGCCCCCAGGATGGGCCGGGGCCAAGAACATCACGGACCCCGAGAACATCGGGGGCCCGAGTGGGGCTCCGGTCAGCCCGAGAGCGTGGTCCAGCTCGCTGCTCCCTGGCCGCCTGGCCCACGGCAGCCACGCGCCTCTCAGGGTCAGGTTTCTCGTGTATAAAGCTCCCCCCGGCCGTCTAGGGGTCCAGGGAGGGGCACAGAAAGTTCCAGCAAGTACAAAGGGCTCACTCAGCCCTGGCTGGGGGGCTCAGCTGGTGAGAGCGTCACCTCAATACACCAGGTGGTGGGTTCGATCCCCGGTCAGGGCACATACCAGCAGCAACCACTGATGCCTAAGGAGGTGGAACAAATCGCTCTCTCAGATCAACAGGTGTGTCTCACGCCCCTTTTCTAGGCATGAAAACTGAGGCTTCAGAAGTAACCATCCACGTAGTTTCCAGAGCTAGAAATTCAGTCTTTAAAAAAGATTCTTGCCCGGCCGGGCGTGGCTCAGCGGTTGAGCGTCGACCCAGGATCCAGGCGATCGGGGTTCGATTCCCGGTCAGGGCACATGCCTGGGTTGCGGGCTCGATCCCCAGTCGGGGGCGTGCAGGAGGCAGCCGATCAATGACTCTCTCATCATTGATGTTTCTCTCTCTCTCTCCCTCTCCTTTCCTATGAAAACAATAAAGATACATTTTTTAAAAGATTCTTGTCCACACCCTTCCCGTGCTCAGAGGTTCTCTGGTCTACTTTGTTCTGTACCCCGTGGGCACCTGGGTCATGTCTGCCTGCTGGGCTCCAAGGTGACCAAGGTCGGGAGGGCACTGGGGCTGCTGCTGACAACACCCCCTGCCTCCTGGACCCATCAGAGGCCAGGGAGCATCACCCGGTGGCCAGAGAACACGGACGGGCCAAGAGTGAGGACCAGCCGCCAGCCTGCGAGCCTGCCCGAGGACACGAGTGATGGGGGAGATGCTCCCTGACCTCCTCAGCCTGGTCTCAGTGACGGGAATGGGCACGCACAGGCCTGGGCCATGCTGAGGGCGCGGGCGCGTGAAAGGGTTTGCTGAGTGACTGCTCCTCTGGGCCGAGCAGCCGGTTTCCTGACTGAAGGAACAAACCGATTTGAGCACCATGCGCATAACTTGGAGGCCAGGACATTAAACTGACCAGACTTTCACACTATTAGAAATTTTTTTCATTGGAAACATTTCCTGGATGGAAACGTCCAGCTCCACACAAGGAATAAACCCGATTTATTCTTTTTCTTAAAAATCTGAACCAATGCCGTTCAGATGGTCTACAGGGCGAATCAGGAAAGTTACCATTTGATCACATGGTGAAATCGAGTGGGCAGAGAATCAGATGGGCAGCGCCCAGCCCCGGGTGAGCGAGCCCAGTGAACCCTCCGATGATTGCAGAGCAGCAGCTGCTGACCAGGAGGCCGAGGCCTGGGCCTGGGCCGTCGGCTTTGCGCTCCGTGGATGAAAAACAGGTGCAAACCCTTATCACAAGTTGACGGTCCGTTAGGAAGATGCGATCACAGGGGGTTTCTATTCACACAGCAGATGACCCCTGAATTCTGGGGCTGCCCCTCCTGGTGGGACTCAGGAGGAGGGTCCGGCTGGGCTGGGCTGGGCCAGGCCCTGGTGGTGCAAGGCCACCAGCCAGTCAGGAGCAGAGGCAAGTTATCAGAGAGCAGGGCTGGGACTCGAGGTCCGTCCTCCACTGGCTTCATCGGGCCTGGCTCCCCGTGTGCCGGGCAGCTACAGCTTCGCGCTCAGACTCCCAACGACAGGCTTGTTGGCCGAAAACTCTGGCCACCACGGCGCCCTCTCCAGCACCTTGCTCTCCTGAAGGACGGCGTTCCAGAGGTTTTTATAGAGCTGCAAAAAACCACACACGCATCAGTAATAAGGATTTCTCCAATGGCCGGTGTGCAGAAGCAACTCTGCTTATAAGCTTTTGTTCAAACATGGGAAATTCTCTCCGTCACTTTTTTTTTAATCCACACCTGAGGTTATTTTTTCCATTGCTTTTCAGAGAGTGGGGGGAGGGGAGAAACACAGACGCGAGAGACATTGATCGGCTGTCCCGCATGAGCCCCGACCAGGGACAGGGATCAAACCTGCAGCCCAGGTACATGCCCTGGACCCGGAATCGAACCTGAGACCCTTCGGTCCGTGGGCAGACGCTCTAACCACTGAGCAAAACCAGCTAGGGCCCTCCTGTCACTTTTCATAAAAATCTTTAAGATGATTTACATTTGATTTCTATAAAGCTTTTCTCCCCAATAGAAAACTATTGGGAACATGCAATTATACCATAGAGTACATTTGGGAGGTAAACACCCTGCTTGGCCTTTTCTCTGAGGACAAATGCTGCGTCCTGGGTCAAGTGTGGCCATGACAGAGTTGGGCGGGTCTGTTTCTTGTTTGTGCTCAAGATGATCCCCTGGCACCCACAGGCTGCCGGCTGGCACGGTGGAGGTGCAGCGGAGTGGCAGAATGACGGCCGTCGGGCTGACCCTGCTGGGTGGCCCCTGGGTCCCCTGGGCCGGCAGCCTGGCACACAATGTCCCAGCCGTCTCCTCCAGGACTTTCAAAACAAACAGCTTCCAGTCAAGTCTCACTGGAGAGACGCAGTCGGCAGCTGAGGGTGGCCGCGCGGAGCACAGTGCCGAGGGCCGAGTCTTGCCGGCTCCCAGCACAGCGAGCGCCCAGGTCCTGAGCCAGCGCCAGACAAGCCTCCACCACTGGCGGGGACAGGAAAGGGGCCTGTTCTGTATCTGGCTGACATCGACCCGTTTTACTTTTCAGAAACCGCTCTCCTTGCACCTGCTAAATGCACTTAGCAATTCTGCTCCCACAGGCTGCTATTCTTGGCTCCAGAGACGCAGATTCAGGCTTTTCCTCCCTGGGTCATGGATCCGAGGTTACAGCTTACAGTAGGGAGCACGGGCTTCATTAAATGATCGTCTCGGGTCATCTCCCACAGCTGCGTTTGCTCTCTTAAAATGAGTTTACTAGCAGCACCTGGTTAAAACATTAGCCCCTAAAACTGGGAGAAATGCACGTGGTATAAACCATCCTGTCGAGCGAGGCCTCTGCTAGTTGTGGTGTCAGGGCCCCACCATGGGGATGGCCTTCAACCGCCCACCTGCCCTAACACGGGCTGGGCTGCCCTTTGCACAGCGGCCGCAGGCCCCGTGCTCGGCCACTCTGGCCCCTTCTCTCCGGGCAGACACTCCTGTGTGCTCAGGGGTCCCCGGAGGATGCCATTTGCCAGGCCCTCTGACAGGCCACTGCCGCCTCTTCCTCAAACGCCACCTGCCTGATCGCCTGCTAAGCCCCCTCCGCCCAAGGCCAGCCCCTCTCCCGTGGGCTGAGCACGGTCTCCTCTACAGCCCTGACCACAGCAGGGGGCCGAGGGTGGCTCTCCTGTCTGCTCTCCAGACAGACCTCCACCCAGATCCTGGTTCTGTCACTTCCTGGCTGGATGACCCCTGGCCTGGCTGGGCGTGGGGCTCGCCCCCAGCACTGTGGGCATGAAACATGCACGAATTGGATGGGGACTCTTCCACGCTCCATACCCAGCACCCGGTACTCACGTCCCAGCCCCAGGCATGGCCTAGGCTGGGCAGAGGTCAGGGCCCTACTCTCCTGGGACAGGCTGCTTGTAGAAGCGATCATGTAAAGCACCAATCTCAGTGTGCTCTGAGGACAGGTGCAGGCTCCTGTCCCCTCCCAATCACACTCCAGGCAGAGCCTGAGCTGGCGGCAGGCGTCTCACAGAGAGGACATGGCGGTGGGGGTGGGGGTGGGGGTGGATCCTGCTCCACTGACGACAGCTGAGACCTCAGGCACATCTCCAGGGCAACACAGGTACGATGCCTGTGGATAGCAGTGCTGGGAGGCACGGAGCAGACCTCGAGTGTCACCCAGCCTGGCATCTCCATGTGGCAGAGAAAGTCATGTAAGGACACATAGGTTCAGTAATGAGCACTTTGAAGGTCACAGAGCAGGATAGAGTAGGGGTGCACATCTGGGGGTGTGCATCTGGAGGCACTTCCCTGGAGGCCTGAGAAGGCCTGAGAGGCAGCATTTTGCTTAGAACCAAGTGAATGGAAGAGCTCCAAGCAACAGGGACAGCAGGTGCAAAGGTCCTGGGGTGGGATGAGCCCAGCACAATAGACGAGTAGAGGGGACTGTGAGCCGGAGGTGGAGGGAAGAGGGCACAGCGCACGGTGACCTTGGAGAACCAGCCAGGCTGGGCCTGGGCTGGGGCGCAGGGAGAGAGCTGGGGGCAATTTCAGGGACAGGGGATGCTGATGGAGGGCTCAGTCAGGAGTGGCCTGATGACACCAGCTTTTTAAGAAGTCATTCAGGGGTGGGGGGAGAGATAGGGGGCCAGCACGGGGCCACCAGGGAGTAGAGACTCCAGAGGTGAGGGGCCCAGCTGACAGGGCAGGAGCCAGCCCTGGGATAGACCAGGCCTGGAACCACGGGAGGGAGGGAGATGTTGCAGGGCCGGGGATCCACATCACAGCCCTACTCAGGCCACGTTACCCCCATTTCTCAGAGGAAGGCTCTGGGGGAAGAGACCACCCCGACTTCTCCTGCCACTCCTTCCACTGTGGCCCAAGTGTGACAATTTCCCGCAGGTGCCAGGAGACGCCTGGGCAGGTCGTCACCTCAGGCTGTGCAGTAGAGTGGTCCCCTGACACACATGGGCCCACCGAGCACAGGAGGGCCTTTACCTGGCCGTCAGCTCTGCCAATCGGAGAGTCCAGGACAAAGTCGGGAGGGGCGATCACGTCCACCAGGGCCACCGCATCGTCTTTCAGCTGTTGGAAAACAAAGGCCACACACTTGGCAAGGCCCCGCATCTCCATGGCGACCATGGAGGAACAGAGCCCTGGAGTTTGTTGCTCGACCACTAGCAACGGTAACCCTAGCGCGGGGCTCGGTGCCCAGGGCATCTTCTCACCAGCCCTGAGTCCTTGGATATTTCACCATGTTGCTATCCACTCAAGACTCCTGACGTTTTACTTTTTGTCAACAGGTAGGGGTTGCTGGTAAAAGTGAGGCCTGCAGCCCATTGCCTGGTTTGTCTCAGACCCCTGACCAGCGGCTGTTCCAATGCAGGAAAACGTGCCCAGAAAGTGCCCTGGAGCAGGCATTTCCAAGCCCTGCAAAGGTCCTTGTGCAGCTCTCAGGTCCACGGCGGTTTATTACCCTTCCGTCTGTTGCACAAATTCATCTTCAGGATGGAATTTATAAAAGACTCCCAAGAATTTTCTTGAAATGCAAAAACTTTTTTCTAATCCTTGTGAAACCCCACAGCTGTGCTGAGCAGAGTTCTGGGACAGGGGTCAGCGCAGAGCAACAAGACCCACAGCAAACAGGGCAAAGGGGACGTCTCCACAGCTGGGACACTGGTCTCTGATGTGCTCACGGTCCCAGGGCCCGCACACCCCTGCCGGGGGTCGCAGAGGAACCTGGAGCCACCAGGTGGTGGGTCGAGAGGCGGGGTGGGCCGATTATAGCTGCGATCCCACGCCGCTGAGGCCACAGGGGAGAGCGCACTGGAGCACCCGGGAGACAGCTGCTTAAACATCAACCAGAGGACAGTGCCTCCGGGTCACTGGTCTCGCTGTGGGAAAGGCCAACATGGGTGTTGGAGCGACACCCTTCCTAGTGCAGGGAGAGGGCGCTGGGTGCTGTGGCATCAACCTGGAGAGGCCTAAACCCGGCAGAGATGTCGGCTGGGGCTCGTCAGCCCTGCACACGCTGCCGGGGTGACTGTGATGGCCCAGCGCCACCACGGGGGCGTCTGACTACACGGGGGTGACTCACTTCCTGCCCCCGCGGAGCCAGGACTCAGCTCCCTCTGTGCAGCTGCGCGGCCCAGTGTGGCGGCCACAGCACGTGTGGCACTCTCGCTTTAAACTAATTAAAGTGAAAGAAAATTAAACTCCCAGCCACCCTGGCCGCACTGCCACTGCGGGCACCCCAGCCAGTGGCGGCTGGTGGGACAGTGCGGCTCCCAAACACGCCCGTCCTGGCGGAACCTTCTACTGGACAGAGCGTCACGAGGCCACCGTGGGGATCAGGGCCGCCTGAGTTTTCCGGGTGGAAAAAGGTGAAAGAAAAACATGAAATGTGAGATACCGTGAAATGAACTTAGACTGGAGGCTGAGGAACCTGATGTGCTCGGGAGTGTTATCGATTAGCTGTAAAAAGGGCATTAGGGCCGTGTGTGTATAGATTCTGAGATATTCCCCCAGAGTTGCCCTTTTCCTGAAGCTTCAGGCACGAGCACGTTTTCCGGCGACCTCCCTGCCCCGCTCTCGGCTGAGAGCACACGAGCGCGTGGGAGCGGGGTGGCCGCGGTCACAGGCAGCGCAGGTGCACTGCGAACGCGCAGAGGGGCCCGCGACTCACCTGCGAACACAGCTCCAGGATGGCGCGCTCTACCGTTTTTCCTGCCTGCTCGCCAGAAAAGTAGCCACCTGTAAGCACAGTGCTGGTAACCCCGGGGTCTGTGGCCCGACGTCCAGAATCACCCACAAGCAGCCCCACCGTCCTCAAGCAGCTCCTCCGATCGGCCCGTTTTGCCTGAAGATGCGTCACTGCTGCCCCAGCCAGCTGAGCTGCAGCCCCGGGCAGGGACCCGCTGCCTCACTGAGCTCACGCCAGGAGGTCATGGCCAGGAGCTGGGGCGGTGGAGCAAAGGCCGGCACGGGGCAGGCAAAGCCCAGGGCCTGAGGAGGGGTGGTCTGCAGGCGCCCGGGGGAAGGGGCTCAAGGGAGGCGATGATGGAAAACAGCTGAGAAACCCAGGCTTAGCTCCATCCCCACCAGTCTTCCCAGCAACACCTCCTCCAGGAAGCCCCCTGGGTCCCCAGCCTGGGTACTCCTGGGGGTGCCCCCAGCCGCCCAGCTCCTATCTCTGTCCATGGGCTGGCGCCAGCCTGAGGCTGCTTTGCCCTCCCGCTTCCTCGCTGTGGCACCTGGGCTCCTTTTCGGTCCCAGGCTCGCTCAGCACCTGCAGTGTCACACCAGCGCGGGGCGGGGCGCTGCAGCCAGAGGCCTCACCTCGGTAGAGCAGGGCGCTGTGCTGGTTCAGGGACCACAGGCCGTAGAGGGCACTGAGCCGACGGAGCACGGCCCGCAGCTGGGGCGGGACGCCGGGCCGGTGCGTGTGCTCGTGGAACCTGCGCACCACAGTGAGCTCCAGGAACGCCAAGGCCAGGGGGCGGCAGCAATACACCTGCAAACGGCCACGCACCGGTGAGCCACGGGGGGCCTCCCGGGCCATCGGTGAGCCGCGGGGGGACCTCCCAGGCCCATCAGTGAGCTGCAGGGGGCCTCCCGGGCCTATCGGTGAGCCGCGGGGGGCCTCCCAGACCGCCAGCCAGAGCTGGAGCAGAGCAGCTGCCACATCACGGCAGCCACGGGGGGCCTCCCGGGCCCATCAGGGAGCCACTGGGGGACCTCCCAGACAGCCAGCTAGAGCTGGAGCAGAGCAGCGGCCACCTTGGAGCTGATGTCTGGGGAGACCACCCAGTGAGGCCGTCGCAGTCTAAAGTCAGGGGCGGCCCTCCCGGCCCAGTCCCTGCGGGTCCCAGCGCCAGCCCCCTCCTCAT